GTACGTATCGACATATTCTAGCAATTTACAATTAGCGTCGGCCGAACGTAATCAGGTCACACGTGGCTGATAATGTCAACAACGCCAAGCTTATTTACATTGTGGCAGATGGTGGCAGAAGCGTTAACTCGCGCGTGGAATACGAACGATGGATTTTGTATATCGTCAATAGGTCGTCCTCAATTGGCGACGGTTAATGACGAACCAAATTTCTTGAGGAACGTTGTGTTTATAGTGGACTGTATTTTACGTAGTAGTTTCGGACAACTCTTCTGAACTGTTCGAATGATATTGACTGACGGACCTCATCTTCCTAATCTCTCGATGGTTATATAATGTCCGACTGTCTGCTGATTCGTTGCTATGATGTTGGGGGTGTATGTTAACTTCAGCGTCCTTCGGTGGTGGTGGTTGTTTAAACAATCTAGATAATTGTGCTTGTCTTCTTGAAGGGTGATATATAGTTGTTTGTTGCGGATTACCTAAGTGGTGGCTTAGGTGCTAAAGAAATCAAAGGGCGCTGATAGTAAGGATATAAACAACCTTCTACTTGGGACATTGCGGTCCTAGGGCCTCATCAATGGTACTTGAGAACTTTCAGAGCCTTCACACGGTCTATTCTAAACAAATGGCCGAACGAAATACCGGGACGACATTCCAAGGCTTAACAGATTTGTTATGTAACTCGTTCGTGGTTATTGAAGCAATGGGGTACGATATCCGTGGATATTGCAGGTTATGAACTGTCGCGAAGCTCTGCTTCTTCATCGTCAAGCTTTTTAGGCAGTTGTTCGTTCCGCTTTGACGAAATGCTTTATTTCGAGAAGCTTAAAGATTCGCTTCATTTCACTTCATTCGTATAGAATTTATTTTTCCACAGTTTTGATACCTATATTTTCTTCGTTGGAAAGCCTTTTTCATTTTATTCAATGATTTAAAGTTCCAGAAGCGAGGTATGAAATTCCGAATTTCTGCAGTTGCGATTGAAGATACCATAAATTTTCTTCCACGATATATATTTTCGTAGTGGGAACAGTGCAACCTCGATTAACCGGGCTTCGATTACCCGTGGTCTTGGTTAACCGGGGTCTTGGTTGACTGGGGTGTTGGTTATCCTGGTGTCGGTTATCCGGTGTAGCAGGACTGGGCACAAAGTAAAGTATCCAAAATAGACTCCTGAATAATAGACTCCAAAATAGACTGCCGTCGATAAATAAATATATTTCAAACGAATCTTCCTTGCTTTCTAAAGAAATATTGTCTCACGAGTCCATAGATCTTTCGCAACTTATTTCATTCGGATAATATTAAAATCGACTTTGTTCTTCTAAATGGAACGACTCCTTTTTATTATATACACTCAGGCCTACCTTTTTACATTTCTTCAGATTCGAATTCCGTTAAATATTTTCATAGACAGTCTTACTCGTACTGAGATTTTAAATAACATAAAAATGCATATTTTCGTCAACAGAAATTTCATTATTATCTTTTTCTTCGGAGATCTTGATTAAATCTCCTTATCGAGGTTACGTTATATTTCCAAAATTATAATCCCGAATCAGAATCGTTAATAACATATAATTACTATGAAATAAGGAATTTTTAACTTAAATGTTCACCCATTTGTTTAAACTTTTCTCTACGACCCCTTGTTAATTATCTTCATTGCGAAATGAGGACTTTCCTTTGCAAAGTGCAAATAAGAATTTTCTACAACGTCAAGAAATACTTTTGCAATTTTCCAAATCTTCAAAGATAAATAAATAATTAGAACAGAAATGGCAACAAAGACATTTATTTTAAACATTTATGATACTACCGCCCCACACAGTAGCATGAATCATCGAATTGATCGTTGTCATAATCATTCTCTGAGAACATTAGTACTGCAGTAGCAATCACTCGCTTCGAACCACCAATCATTTTCTATCTGCTTTTTCATTTCGTGCCTTACACGATCTCTCGTATATTCACGGAGAATGTTCCTCAACCCCGCATTAGCGCGTCATCGCGTCCCATCGGGAAGCATAATCGACTGACAGAATCAAATCGCATCGTACAACAAACGCGTGTGCAACGAAGACTGCAATCGACGCATCGGGCAAATGGCCATTCGCTCTTAAAAGTTGCATGACCTGCCGCATTGCCATTTCCGGTCGCGTTAGCAATTGTCATCGGTAACCCGGTATCAGATGACGCATTCTCACACGAGAGTCAATCTTCAACCCACGTGTCACCTCGTGGTATCTAGAGAATCGATGGAAAACTGAGCGAGATGAAAGACAAGAGAAAAACTTTTTTCATGAAATTTTTTCCCAGTGGGAGCTTCGAATTTATCGTGACAGTTCCTTCTGTTGTTTTCACGAGTGTTTTACAATTGATTCTTTTTCCTTTATCGTGATTCTTTGGCTCCATTAAGTCTTTATTCTCTACAGAAATTTTTAACTACGAAGGGAAACAAAGATCGTTAATAATAAATAATATGTGTGTGTCAGTGTATATATATTTTTATGAATGTGTTATGAATCAGTGTATATATATTAATATGAAAGAATAACAGGGGTTACAAATACAAATCTTTCGTTCTCTTTTTTCTCTTTTTCCAATTATTGTCATAGTCATCTTTCAAATTCGGCTTCTATTAACTTCAGCTGAGAATTACCCGAAGAAAGTAAAATATCGTGGGAGACTCCTGGTAAGATAGGTCAAACATGAGGTAGCGAGAGGCGTAGTTTGTAGATAAGACCAAATGTAAACATCGACAGGCTCGAGGTTAATTTTCGCAGATGATGTTTCCTTGTCTGAGTTGCGTGTTATTCTTTCGCCACGTTGGTATGAAATGGCTCGACGTGTGATTGATTTTCCTGTTGATCGTGCCACGCATCATCGAAACTTGGAGAGTCTTCGAACGAGAGTTCAGTGAGTAGTATTTATTTTACATCCTTACAATTTTTGCACCGTTCTGAGGAAAATTTAGTGTGGGTGATAAAACGGTTCGTGACAAACGATAGAGGAATTAATTTCGTTTTCGTTGGAAACAGAGAAGACACCTGCGTGTTTATTTGGTCAAGAAAATTGGTAGTTTACATAGCTAGAAAAATAGTATTTTGTACGTGTTTCTGCAACGTTTAACGATTATTTTCATTAGTCAGGCTCGTTGTTAATTTTCGCTGATGCTTTTCTGCCTCGGTTACGTGCTAGCCCTGAAATGGCTCGACGTGTGACAGACGTTGCTATTGATTATGGCACGCGCCATCGAACATAAGTCGTAGGGTAAGGGATTAATCGCGTTGTTTTGTATTTTTCATTATTTTTTCGTCCAGTTAAGTTACGACGTGTATGAAATTTTCTTCGTGAGGCTATTTTAATAAAATACAAGTTTGCTTTCTCAGAAGTTAACGACGACATCGTAAAGAGAAACAGTTTCACGTAAAAGTAAATACTAAAAGTTGATAAAAACATGTCGTTGCTATTACGAGGCGAAACTTCCTTCTTATTTAAAGTAATAACAATTTTGCAAAGGCTAAACAAGCTATGGTGCACATATACAGGCTACGTCTGATTTAAATAAAAATGGCAACAAATTTTCCTTCCTAAAATTTCAATTTGCTAAAAATTTAATTTGCCAGTTAGGATTTAATAAAATATTTGTGTCTTCAAAAAATTATTATTTACAAAGCTCTCGTTATCATTGTATTTGTTTCTTCTTTCTTTCCCGTAGGAAATTAATTTTCTGTAAAATTTTATATCGGTGATTCATCGTGAATTAGAAATTGCATTCAATAACGCGTATAAAGTTTATATTTTAATTCTAATTCGTTGAATATTCGGTACGAAATTTTAGTAATATCGCTTACCAATAATCGTTCGTTATTTCAGGTGTTCATAAGTCCTCATCGATTTTTGGTACTGAGAATATGAATACTGCTGCAGATACAGTTATAGTAACATAAAATAGTCTACCATCATCGTATAGCAATCAATCATTCGCTTAATTTTTTCCGACCTTCTAACTCGATTATAAGAAGATTATACGATAAAAGTATTACATAAGGGGTTGCCTATTTTCACTCTCGTAACTTTTTAATATTAATCACGAAGACGTGGACTGCCGTTCATAAATATCTGAATATCTCCATCGATTCGTAGCAGGAGCTCGTATATCGTTAAATTAATTTAAACAATGAGAAATTAACGAATAGGAGCAACTTCTTACCCTCGTACGGAATCAACGTCCTATAACTTTAATCCGTTAAGGAGCTTATTAGTAGTAGATTAAATACGCGATGTACTCACCTGTTGTAGACTCCTCTGCTTAAATTAATCTCTATAGTCTACCAACTCGATAGAACCTCCTCTATCCCAATAATAATTTACGAATTAAATTTCGATCGTGGGAACAATTTCGCTTGGACTATCAATTGCGAACAATAATTTCGCCGTTGCTAATTATTCTTTAGAATCAAATTTTATCCCACGATAATACTCAAATGAGCATAGTAGTAAGGGACATCAGGCAATCACCTAGATTTCTAGTATAAGTCTGGTAAAAAATAATCAAGTGCTTGGGCATTTGGAAATGTCAGAGTTCCCTAGTACTCGTGGACCCCCTGTCAAGCTTCTGATCATAAGGACAAAGCTAAACATCGCATCGAAACTCGCGCACCTTTCTCGCGAACGATGCATCCACGGCATACGGAGACTCGCGTAACCGAGGAAGAGTAGGTACGAGGAGAGGGAAAATGAGAAAGAATTCATCAACCCTCGTTCGCCGTCTGATCGCGAGTAAGTAGAAAGCGAACGACGCGCGACGACGCCGCGCGACGACGACGCGCTTCGACGCAGCACGGCAGAACAGACAGAGGAAACGGAACGAAGGAGAAGCCAGAGGGGGTGGCGAGCGTCGGTGGCGCCTCCATGCGACGCTGGTGGGGGCTCGTGCAGCAGGGGCGTACGGACGCGACGCGGCGGATTCGTCTCTCCTCAGTCGACGTCAAGCCGTCGCGACGCGTGCGTGTTCTCTTTTGCCGGTTTCACAAAGCTCACGAGACTCGCGTGTCCCGCACAGCGTGACTAGTCTCGTCCGTGTTCGCCCACCTGTTCGCTCCAGCAAGTCGATCGCGAGTATCGTGACAACGAATGGTTCGGTATAATAATCGTTAAACGTTGCCTGGTGCACGTGCATCGTCGTCGTAGCCCCCGTCGTTGTGGCTCCGTGCTCTACCAGGGATACCTGCTATTTCGAGGGGTTCTCGCGAGTGACCTGACAGCCCCGCGACTAGCATTCCCTCGCGGCGCGTGTGTCCGTGCAACGAACACGATAATCTCGTGCCGCGTGTTTGGTAGCCTGGCTAAACTGGAGCAGTGTGCGATTGGGACGTGTCAGTTGAAGAAGAGAGTCAAACGGTGTGAGGAAGAGTCTGTCCTCTGGTCTTAGTTGAGAACGTCAGTGAGGCCAGTCTCTCGGTGATAATCAGTGCGAAACAACCCTTGGATTATGACTGTCGGGTACGTACACGATAGTATTCCAATGTTTCCTAATTGTATGCTAATGAAAGATGATATAGAAACGGAGGTTGGTGTCGTTCGTGTTTGGTGTCAGTTAGGGTGACCGAAGGTGAGGTGGTGGTGGTGGTGAGGTTACCGGTGTCCGTTAGTGACACGATAGTGGAGAACGAATAGTGTACGGTAGCAGGAGAATTCGACCGGGTGATGGTCAAGTTCTCACGTTCCACATTGTTCGCGTTGCGCGTTATTAACGCGAATCTAGCGTTCGTCAGCAGTTGTACTTCGACTCTGGTATAAATAACATCGAAACTACGATGCGAATCAGCGATACGCTTAGCGATTGTTACACGGCACTTTGTTTTGTTTCCCTCGAGCAAGGTCGGGTCACGGTTCGATCTGTTCTCGGTCGCCTTAGCCGTTGTTCGAGAAATTGCGAAAAACGTTGCCGAGTTACGAACGCCTGAAATTCGCCTCACGGGGAATCGGCTCTGTCAACCGATTAACATTTCCACTTTGGTATTCGCCGGGATCTCGTTAACGTTTCAACGCGAGCTTCGTTTATCTTTGGACAAGTGTCAAGTGCCCTCGCTGGGGGCAAATTTACAATAGGCGCGAGAGCTGGATCCGGTGGATCCGGTCCGGTGCGAAAGTCTCGAGCTCCGCGTAGCTCGATCATCTCGTTGAAATTTAAATAGACCATTGCGAGACGTTCATCGCGAGGTTTCGTAATTCGATGCAACCGATGCTTTCCTCTCTCTTACTCGATATAGATCTTTCTAGGTTCGATACCTTCGGAGTTCAGTGGACAAAATTCCGGCCCATCTAATTCCACCTGACGGAAGATATCCATTAATCGATACTTCTTTCTCGTTCCTTCCTCGATCGATTCATCGCTCTCACCTAACCCAGCATCGCGATTGTTCGAGGTCTGTGCTGCTTCGTTTGTTCGTCGTTTTTAATCCCCAGCCGTGTAACTGGTATTAATGACTCTGTCAGTAAGGCGTAGCAATGTCCGTGGCGACTGTTTACATTGACATCGCCGCTGGCCTTCTCACCTTGACTGGCTGTTGCACGCTTTTGCAATTTAAGCCGGTCAACGTGTCGCGTTCGCGTGTCACACGGCTCCTGCTGCTTTTATTGCTTTCGTTATCGATTCGCGGGCCATCGTCGATTATCGACGATCGTGCACGCGTTCGCCGATCGAGCCAACGTCGTCTGTCATTGCGCGCGATTTGGACGGCCTTGATGATCCCGATCGAACGACGCACTGCGCTCTGTTAGGCTTGCAGTGGTAGAAACGGTATCGATATTATTAGACCCCTGGTTGACACGCTTAACTCGACGATCGTTACGAAAATTTGTCAATGGCTTGCATCACGTCGAACCCGCTCCTATGCTTTTGCAGTTTGTTTCGTTTGGCAGCAACGCGGGTGTTGTTCCTTTCCTCTCGGTTGCGCAATGCCGGGCGAGAATTATGGTTCATCTATAGCAGACAAAATCAGCCGATTGTTCGACGTTTGAACGGGTGTAAACGTCGTGGCTGCAGCTCCTCGACGTCGAAATGTAATTTTTATTTCGATAACGAGATTGCTTCTCGAACCGACGATTTTATTTCCAAAAGGCAGACCTCGTGGCTGTTAGTATTCCCGTGCCACCTGAAATGAAGCGGAATCTATGCATTCTTGATTCACAGACCGTTAATTGGGCCACGCGTGCTGATTCGCATTACCATGAATTTTCGAACCTACCTATTCGACATGAAAAATACTAATTGGAATTAATTTCCTTGATTTAAGTATATCCGCTCGAACTCGTGTTTCGATGATAAATAATCTTGCTTGCAATATGTCAGAGTTTTCTTCTGTCCTTCTTTTAACGCAGCGAACAATCTTTTCTTTGTTCAAATCAAGCGATTTTACTGTTGATCGCAGGAGATGACACGAGTTTTCCAATGATAAATAGAATCGTTGGAATAATTACTTGTGCCACTGTCTACCAGCGTTCATATGTCGGGGTCACGCATCAATTGATACTTCTAACTGAAGTTATCCGAAGAAAATAGTTTGCTCACTGTCGCGTTGCATGTATAGTGACCCAGTAATTATTCAGATCCACTGGACACTTGCGAGGCTATGAAGTTCAGAGAAAACACGTTTCCCGGGAAACGTATTTTGTAATTCGAAAAGAAGAAAATTATTTATCATAGTGATCGCTTTTCGTAGATCCAACGTTCTCGTGATGCAAGAGGTACTTTCACGTTTTCGTTGGTTCAGTTTTTGCGTGTACACGTATTTCTTGACACTTACTCTTATATCCTTTTACTAGGTAAAACGTTTTTGCGCCAAGGATAGATAGGTTTTGGCTTTGGATAACTTTACGTCGTTCGATATTGAAAATAAGATTGACATTTTTACCTTCAAAGAGTTTAGGCTGTAAAAAGTTAGGCGAAAACGATCTTCTCTTTTAAACCTTGTACTTTTTATGAGAATTTCTAAATTGTCTGAATCATGTAAAGGTGTTTACGATATTATCGGAATTAAAATTTCGCGAGAAATAATGGTATCTTTAAGATAATTCCTGAATTTCTTATTTTTAATTTCACGTTTTCGTCTTTTAAATCGTAGAAGATTTTTAAATATGTTTTAGGTAAGGTAGATCGGTGTATTTACTAATTTTTAGATCGGGGTAAACGAGTATACTCGATTCCGTGTAGCAAAAGTTTCCAGTTTCAATGAAATATACCCGTTCTTTTATTTATGAACTTTGCAACACGGTTAATTTGCAAGAAATAGCATTGCTATTCCTTTCTTTGTAACAAGGTTTAAACTTTTCTTGTTATACCTACGATATGCAAATGCCTCGTTTTCATGGACATCTGTTATTGCCAACTTATTTTAGTTATAACGTGTACGAGGCATCGATAAGTACTTTATGTCCCGAAACAATATAATTTACCGATACGACGCTAGTGTAATTATGAAAATAATTTCAATCGATGCTTTTAAGATCACTCCTACTCCGTAATATCATTGAAATTCTACCTCAATGAGTCTTCCACATGTTTTGCACACTAATCACGAATCCAGTCCATAGGAGTGAACCGAAGATTAGATACTTTGAAATGCCATTACAGTGGCATACATTCGAATCAAATCACTCAGATACCCTATCACGGTGTTACGTAACAAGCCTCGAACACAGCAAACCGCCTAACTCACGCGCACACATGCTCCAAAATATTCGTAAATGACAGCCGATATCGTAACACGAGTTTTCCTCCTACTTTTGTTTAAAACGCAGGTCCTAAAACTCGAATTAATCGCGTATCCAAATATCGCGATACTTGTAAAATTTGCCCGATTTTTCCAAAGTAACGTAATTTAAATAACTCAGGTAGGTTTAATAAAAATTACTAAATCCACGCGGAAAATTCCTCAAGCGACCGTGAAAAATCGCTCCACGGAGACTGTTCGACTCGGTCCATATGCTCGCAATTTGCAAAGCGGTTCCGCGACGGTCGATTCGTGGCGAGAGGTGTATTCGCGCTTGAAGAAAGGACGGAAGAAAGCCGGGAAACAAAAGGAGAAGAATTTGGGGAACAGCTCGACGACGCTGGTCGGGTCGTGGAACGTGCGGTGGGTGCCGGAGAAAACGCTGTTCCGGCGTCTTTGTCCCGATCGACACGTCGCTTTATCGCTGCACGTGAGCCCCGTGCCAAAATCGGAGAGCGTCGGGAGAGCAGAGGGTGGCAACGACAAATCGGTATCGCGGATTTACCCGCGGCGTCTGCTCCGCGGCGATGAAGAAACGATATGACAAACTGCAGGCGAATTGTCCTCCGCGAGGGCTTTTGACTGCGAGACGCGGTCAGAAGCCTGGCCAGGAAAGCTACGACGTACTTCCGCGAGAGGAGTGGAGGCTATACCCTCGAAGACGCTCTGTTACTTGGCCGTTACGGGCTCCGGGCACGAACTCTCGTCGAGGGTGTCCGTATTGGCGAGAGAAACGAGTGGCGCGCTGACTCGAGCTGCCTGCTCTTTCTTCCATTCCTCTACCCTCGCGTGCAAGCTCGAGAGGAGAGCTCGTTATCCAGCGGCGTGTGTGCCACCCACTCGCTCCACCAGGCTTCGCGCGTTCTTGTTTTTCGCTTCCCACGCCGGACTTTGATGCTCCCTTCTAATTAGGCGACTTTTCCCACCACTTTCTCGCGATTTCTTGCAATTTCTTTAGATCTCACCCTCTTTCTTTCCTAAGAATTAGATAATTATTGAGTTTATGCTGGCTGCGAAAGCGTCTAAGAGGGTCTTTTGGTATCTTGCTTCATTTTTTCTTTGAAAAATCGTTGCAACGAACGATTCAGGCGTTACGGTTTGAAATTAACAGGATTTACATGTATTGTCTTGAACTACGTGTGTTGCATTTTTCGTTCGGAAAAATTGAAAATTCCAGGTGTTACGAACCGTTGTCTGAAGGGTTGCTTAAAAATCCGTTATCGATGGTGTCCGTAATTCAGGCTTTTCCTGACAAGATTTCTGTCGAGTATCAGTTCAGCTATGACTAGTATTAAAAGAATCAAAGAATATAGATAAGTGAAAAAATGGCGACATTCTGAATGTATCTTATCCATATTTTCACTTTCTTTTTAAATATACGAGTGTGAAAGGGATAGAATGAATGCGAATGTTTGAATGATTTTAGCAGGGGTTATAACCACAGATGTACTTAATATTTGCGCAAAATTTCGTGCTAATCTGTCAGATACTTTTTGGCAAATTATGGATACCGTTTTGGGAAACACAGTTTCGAGAAATACACGTTTAAAGTTTCACGTTTCTATAATAATTACCTCTATATTAAATAAAACCTCGTTGAAACAGCTATAACTCTGTTATTTGTAAGAGTTCGGGTCCAATATTCACGGAAAGTATTGTTGAAAACACGTACTAAGTAAAAAGAAAATCGATTTTTTGGTCGTAGATAATAATTCATTATTAACTACT